CCATCGCATGTTTTCTGACGAGGTATGCATAGTGGTAGTATATTGTGTGGTCACTTACGGTATGGCCGTCAAAAAGTGCCGCTTTTTACCCCGAAACTTACCTGGCCTGCCCCGAGCCTCCCTTTCCCTGGGGGGCGACTTCCAAAGTTCAATTGAATCTCTACCAAGCCCACATTCATGGATCCCCTGGTTTCTCTTACGTTTTACGGTGGGCCTTCCCAGTACGAGATGTGTTCTTGTAAGCTTTTCCTGCTTTCTCGACTCTCTTGAGCTGATATCTTGGTATCTCAACGCTAATGCTGTCAGCTTCCTTCCGGTGTGGTCCATGATGGCGATGAGCCTCGCTTACTGTTCGAAAGGAGACCAATGCCCCGGGCTGATGCCTGTTTCTGTCAACTTGTGAACCTTCCCCCCCCGGCTTTGGCCAGTAACTGGTCGCAATTTCAACTTCGGCATCCTACGCACGCGGGTGATGGGGTTTGCCGGCTTCCGTCCTGGTTCGGAAGTGAGGACATCGTTAGTCCCGGTTCCGTGTCGGCGAGGATTCATGAGTCGTGAGCCGGTCTCCCTTGGAAGGGCTATTTTGCAACATGCGACGTCCTGCACTACATCTTGAGTCCATCTCAGGTATTTCAAGAGTAGCTCGTTGCGGCCGCTGATTGACTTATTGGAACCCGATCACTCACCAGTCATATTCGTACTCATTTCCTGAACATCCCTCAGGGTCGCAGTTCCAGTCACGATGCATCCCACCGGCCTGAAAATCCTCGCTGCGGCGTTGACTGCTGTTGGTGTAAATGGCCACACTCTTTGGTCCCGGCAGGACGCCGACTACCAAGCCCTTGTCGCATCGCTTTCGAGCACCGCCAAGGTGCTCTATTCGGGATCCGACGATTTCAACAACGTCACGACACGGTGGTCAAATTTGGACATGCCGACGGTGAATGTGGCCGTGAGGCCTGCCACTGAAAACGATGTTGTCGAGACGGTAAGAAGAATCATCCAATTTCTGTTTTTTTTTTTTTTTTTTATACTTCCTATCTACCTTTCCTCAGTAGATCTTTGGCTGATATTGGAATCGGGAGGTTTGACGCACAGGTCAAGTTTGCCAACAAGAAAGGCCTCCCCTTCCTGGCCACAAACAGTGCCCATGGCGCCATCACCACACTGGGCAAGATGAAGAGCGGCATCCTGTTAGACCTCGATGAGCTCACGGGTGTGGAAATTGCCGCAGATGGCCAGACGGTGACGGTGGCCGGCGGAACCAAGTCGCATGTTCTTTCTCACGCGCTTTGGGATGCTGGCAAGCAGGCAGGTAAGGGCCCCTCCCCCTACACCTATCTAGACCCCGTGTGTACCTCTGATGATGCTAACGTATGACGGTTTGAAGTCACGGGTGCATGTGAATGTGTCTCGTATCTCGGACCCGGCCTCGGTGGTGGCCACGGGTTCCTCCAGGGCCGCCACGGGCTGATTGGCGACCAGTTCCGTTCCATGAACGTTGTGCTCGCCAACGGCACACTCGTGACTATCAACGAGATCGCGACCCCAGACCTGTGGTGGGCCATGAACGGCGCGGGCCACAACTTTGGAATTGTCACCAGCGTCACATCCCAGATCTACGATGTCGAACATCAAGACTGGGCGCTAGAGCTGATGAACTTCAGCGGCGACTTGGTGAAGGAAGTGTACGAGGTGACGAACAACGAGATTCTGAAGAACGGGACGCAGCCGGTGGATTTGATCAACTGGAGTTATTGGATGTTGAGCCCGGATCTTGATTCCGAGAAGGTCAGTTCAGCCCTCGTCTTCCTCGGCACCCTACCATCCCCCTGCCAAACCCCAAAGTGTGCCAACGTTATATCTGACTTACTCTCTCAGCCCATCGTCCAAGTCCTCCTCATGCAAGAAGGCGTTACCACCGTCGACCCAGCCTACACCGCCCCATTCCACGCCCTCGGGCCCCTCTCCAACTCGTCGGAGTCTGGCGTATACACCGACCTCGCAAAGTTCGTCGGCGTCAGGACCACCGACGGCCCGTGCCTTAAGACCGGCGCCAACAACCCGCGCTTCCCCATCTACCTCGAGACGTACAACACCACCGCCCAGAAGCTCGCCTTTGATTTCTTCGCAAACAGCATTGTGGCCAACTCGGCGCTCACTAACTCATTGGTCACCTTTGATGACTATTCCATGCAAGGGGTCAAGGCCAAGGCAGATGATTCGAGTGCGTATGCGCACCGCGCTCAGAATGTATTGGTCGGGCCGTTGCTGCAGTACATGCCCGGGGACGCGGCGCTGGACGAGGAGGTTGCGAAGCTAGGCAACGAGTTCCGCCAGATTCTCCACGAAGGCACAGGACGTGATTTTGTTCCTGTGTACCTGAACTACGCGTTTGGAAATGAGGGGCCGGAGCAGTGGTATGGACAGAGGAGTGGCGTATGACTCGCCTGCAAGAGGCGAAGGCGGCGTATGATCCCAATGGCTTGTTTAGCTTTTATGGACCTATTGCTTAGGTGAGTTGAGGTGGGGGAATGTCAGATTATTCATAGAGCTTTGGTGATCAGGTTTAGTTCTTCTAGCTTCGCAGGACGCGTACGCTATTTATTTCAGCTTGGAGGGTTTGGTTTAATTCAATGTCACCACCATGAGTTTGCTCGGAACACCAAGCACTTTGCCTTGGATAAAGTACGAGGATAATCTCGCAGATATGAGTCTACTCGGAGACTACTGACTTGAGAGTAATCAGCGAGGTGACTGACTATCTGAACATCACATGGGACATCGGCGTCGTCAGGCAGAACCCGGCAGCTTCAGTCCCGTAAAGTCCTCCAAAGCCTTCACTACCGCCTCCTGCAAGCCTACGTCTTCGGTAGCAGGCAGCGGCTCGCCCTTTTGCTTCTTCGGATCAAAGTACCGACCCATCTCTCCACTCACATCGTGTTCGCCCTCGGCCAGCATGACATACGTCTCCAGCCCGTCTTCCATCTTGTCAGGCGCCTCGAACTTCGTGAGCTTGGTGGGCACGTAGCCCGGGTGCATCGCCACCACCGACGTGCCCTTGCCCTGCAACCTCTTCGCGGCCGCATTCACGAGGCACATGACGTGGAACTTGGAGTTGCAGTACGCTTCGAAGTCGTTCCACTCCTTCTCGCCCCTCTTGAGCCAGAAAATGTCCTCGACGTCCGGCTTGCCCTCGCGATGCAGCACCGACGCGACGAACACGATCCGTTTCGGCGGCGTTAACAGGCAGGTGAAGATGTACGGCGACACCAAGTTGACAAAGACCTGGGCGGGCACGCCCGACTCGGTCTCGCGGAAGGGCCCGTACAGCAAGCCGGCGTTGAGGACGACGGCGTCGAACTGGCCGACTGCGTTGGCCTGCTCGGCGAGGGAGCGAGTCTCGGACGTGCTGGTGAGGTCGGCGATGAAGACGCCCGCGGCGCCCGGGACGAGCCTCTTGGCCTCCTCGGCACGGGCCGCGTTGCGCGCGTGCAGATAGACGGTGTGCTTGCGCTCGACGAGCTGACGGGCGGCGCCGAGGCCGAAGCCGTCGGTGGATCCAGTGATGAGGATGCGGCCCATCTTTCACTGGGGTGAGTTGCGAAGGTTTACAGGGGCGGGATTGATTTCGCGTTGGGATGGTGTGATTTTGTCGACCAGGAGCTTAAGAGAAATGAGGGAGGATTTTGTAGCGACCGATGGTGAGTGGATGCAGCGGGTGAGATGAGTGAGGTCCTCAAGAGTCACGACATCAGGGAGTGGAATCGCGGCGGCGGAAGCAAGAAAATTCCTTGATGGTAAAGTGGATCTGTTCTGTAGCAACGATTGCACGAGGCATTTTGCGTATAACCGGCTTGGATCGGAGCAAGAACTGAGAGCTGATTCTTGGTGGAGCATCTGCATGCTACATGTCAGGCGGCGGTAATTAGAAGCGGCACAGCCTGATGTTCAAGTCTGCGTGGATAATATCATATTATGCAGGCAAGGGTTGCTAGGCATCTTTATTTGGGGTTTTTTTTTTATTCTTCTTAGCCTCTTTGCCAGCTTGGCAGGCAACGTGAAGTGAGGCGTCTCGAGTGGGGCACCTGAGGGGAACCGGCGGGGTTAGGCTGACAGCCCCGGTTCCCCGGAGCCCCGGAGCCCCGCTGAGCCCCACTGAGGTCCAGATGGCCCGGGTAGAACCCCGGCGTCGCATTCGGGCACCGGCGCTTGACAACCGTGCCCACGCCGCTTAGCTGATAGTTCAGCACCAACAGCTGGATACACGTGGAGCTACAACCAGCCGCATCATCACCGGTAGCGGAGATTTCGCACACCCAATTAAAGCACTTCCGAAGGTGACAAAGCAAGAACTTCGTACTGCTATTCGCGCCGAGCTCGGGACCCCTTGTATGCGCCCCCGGATCCCGAGGGCCTTGCGCGCGATTCATTACGTTTAAAATGCTTTCCCCAGCTCCACGGCACGGCCCATTGTTCGGCTGTACCCTTTCATCCGCACCTATGCCAACCGAGCTTTGGCATATCTTGTCAGCCCTGCCTGCACCCCTGAGCCGGATCTATGCGCAAAGTACTCAGTACTCGTTGCGCATGAATCGTGGGTAGGATCCCGAGAAATGAGACTGCAGTGGGCAGTGCAATTTAGGTGGATCCTTTGCGTGCAAGACCCTCGTTTGGCAACACACTCATGGGCAAAAGCCGGGAAAGGATTAGCCGGAAAGACATCTCCTTAGTTGCAGAGCTGTTCAGTGAGCGTGTGACTGTGCCGGGCCGCTCTCTGTGAAGGCGACGCGAGAAGTCTCCGTTTTACGAGGTGCAACTTCTAATAAGGCTGCCTTCATGGAAATGTCTCGGATAATTGCGGGAGGTATTTGACGCTTACAGATTCTCATGTACCTCGTCATTTTTAAGAGTCTCGGAGTGAAATAAGTAAAACGAACAAGGCCTGTCAGCATCAGAGTTCACACGCTTGTTTATCATCGTCAACGCCAACTTTCATCATGTCCCACCAAGGCATCTTTCGCTACCTGCCTCCCAACGCAAGGCCCGCCTCGGCCGAGAAGGCCTACCTCCTGCCCTCTCTCTTCGAGTTCAGCTCCATCGTCACACTTCCACTCACAGACCTGAAGCCTACGCTCGACCTGGGCGATGCCTCGCCTTATAAGCTCTCGGTGCATGGGTTTACCTCCCGCCGGCATCACTCGGCCTTGCACACTGAGCCATTCGGCCATGCGAGCTGGAAAGATGAGAAGGCACTCAGAGACGTCTATTTTCCCGAGGTCGAGGAGTTTGTGAAGAAATTGACGGGCTGCAAGACAGCGGTGGTGAGTGCGGCGGTTGTGCGGACGCAGACGTACAGTGAGGGCACCGGCGATTCCAGCTCTTCAGCAGAAGACGACGGGAAAGGAGAAGGGGAACGGGAGGAGGAGGGGGGAGAAGAAGGCAGCAGCGCTGCTACTCCCAAGTTCCCTCCCATCGTCGGCCTCGCCAAGTTCGACGGCGTCTCCCCTGCCCCCAAAGTCCACCTCGATCTCACGCCCAAGGGTGCAAGACTGCACATTCGGAAATACGCCCACCAAGTCACTTTGGCGGCGGAGCACGTCATCACGGCGGAGAACGCTCTGCTTCCCTCCGGGGTCAGGTTGGAAGATCTCAAGGATCACTACCACGAGGCCGGCGTCCCGCGCTTTGCGCTGTTTTCCATCTGGCGCCCGATCAAGACGGTCAAGCGGGATCCGCTGGCCGTCGCACCAGCCAACAAGTTTCCAGAGGAGGATTATGTGATTTCTGCCCAACTGGAGCCTCTTGACCGGACCATCCCAGCTCACCTGTCGTGCCTCATGGGTCCCCAAAGTCCCAACTCTGCCTCCGCCTCTGCTTCATCCGAGGAGACTACGTATGATACCGAGGGGTATTTGGCCTACGCACTAAAGAATGGAGATGAGAGTGGAGCCCATGACTGGCATTTCATTGCGGACCAGGAACCGAGTGAGGTCCTGGTAATTCAGCTGTTTGACAACGAGATGGAGGCGAATGCGAGGGCACCACGCAAGGATGGAGGGAAGGGAGGATTGGGCGTCGGCGGAACGGTGCATAGTGCGTTTGAACTTGTGGGACAGGATGACACGGAGGAAGCCCGTGAGAGCATCGAAGTGAGGGTTGCGGCGTTCTGGTGAGGCGGGAGTTGGGACATAGATGATATTGGAACGCCCTATCTACCTAGGCAGTTAAGTAACTTGGCAGCAAAGTGCAAACCGGTTTCCCGTGGAGTTGTGATTATTTTTGTATCGTTTAACACCGGGTGGCAGCTCACCTAGGGGAAAAGGCGCCTACAGCAATGGGTTTCCCGTGGAGGAACGAGTGAAGAGTGAACGTGAGAACGCAAATTATCACCACTGGCCAAATTCTTCTGCGGATATATGCAACTCTCCTTCTACTGCCCCGGCACCGCCTTCTTTACGCCAAACCTCTTCCCCAACACCACGAATTGGGCGACTGTAATGGCTCTCCTCAAGGACAATGCATCCTGCTCCTCAAATGCCCTCTTCAGCGCCTCCTCGGCCGCCTGCCAGTCCACGAAGCCTAGCTCTTGGACGTTTTCCTTCGTCACCAGCTCGGTCACCTTTTGCCACAACGGGCCCCCGACCCAAAACTTTCTGGGCCCCATATACGCCTTCTTACTCATGTTATAAATCTCATCGGTCACAAACGGCTTCACCGCCTCACGCAGAATATGCTTCTCCCGCCAAGACTTGGTGCCGTGGTGATACTGTATCTTGAGCGCCGGCGGGATGTTGTTGACGTACTCGGTGAGATGGTGGTCCAGGAACGGACAACGCGACTCGACTTGGTGTCTCATGTCGACGTTGTCACCGTTGTAACGCAGGATATAGTGCGGCATGAACGTCTTCACAAACATGTACTCCGCCGTGTGGAATGGATGCCACCGCTTCCGAATGTTTTCTCGCACGCGGCCGTCGAGGCCCTCAACAAGCGCCGTCTCTGGCGCCGTGTTCCCGTGGGCATGTCTGGTCCACTCTACAAAGGGGAGAGAACCCACGCGCGCGATGGACGGAACGACGTACCCGTGGTTCATCATCCTCTCGGAGGAAGCGGGGATCTCTGGCGTGAAATCCCCAAAGATTCCGTGCTTGCTGGCGGCCACAGCCGTCTGCAGCGCCTCATGACGGTCACTCGCAGAGAGTTGCTCTTCCTGCGCCGCCCACGAATGATCGGCCTCGCTCAGCCAGTCGGCGCGAAAGGCGTCGTAGCCGCCGAAGTGCTCATCCGAGCCCTCCCCGGTGATGACGACTTTGATCCCCTGCTTATGGACGGCCTCGGCGAGCGCGTACCGTCCCATTCCGTTGAGGTCCGGCAGCGGGACCTCGACGTTCCACACCGTGTCCTCGAAGCGCGCGACCAGGGCCTCTTCGTCCATTTTCACCATGTGAATGTCCACGCCCAGCCATGCAGCCGTGCGGTGCGCCACAGCCGACTCGTCTGCGCCGGTACCCTCGTCGAACTGCACGGTGAAGCACTTCATCTTGGATGGCACGGTCGACGACTCGGAGCCGAGGTGGTGGCCTTGCTTCATGAGGTGGGCCACTATGCCGGCCACCGAAGACGAGTCGATGCCGCCCGACAGGTAGACGGCCACCGGCACGTCGGCTTTGAGGCGGATTCTGGTGGCCTCTAGGAGACGTGTCCGGACGTTCTCCGTGAGTTCTGTGGCGGAACGAGAATCAAGAATTGACTGCAAGGTGGACTTTAGAATTGATGTGCAATATAGGACAGATGCAGGAAGAGATTTACCTTGTCCGGATACTCAACGTCCCAGTAAGGCACCTGATACTCTTGCTCACCAGGCCTTGCGACCAGGTAATGTCCCGGGAGAACCTACAGCGCATCACGTTTCGTCAGCACTTCGTCATCTCTCCCAACGACTCATCCACAGAGGGCCCAAAAGTCCAAAGAAAGAAGTTCTACTTGCCCTGTAGATACCTTTGAAGTAAGTCTCGCTTCCCACCCGCCAACTCTGTTCCTTCAACTCCCTCACGCCCCACTCCATTCCCTTTCCAAACCTCAGAAAGCTCTTCATCTCGGTGGCCACCAGCAACTTCCCTTCGTGCCATGTATAGTACAAGCTCTTGATGCCATACCGATCCCGTCCGGCAATCAGCCTCTTTTTGCTCTCATCCCACAGCACGAACGCAAACTCGCCGCGGAGGTGCTCCAGGAACGAGAGACCGTAGTGTTTGTACAGAGCAATGACAATCTCACAGTCCGAAGTCCCGACGAAATGGAACTCGGGTGAGAGGAGATCCCGGTAGTACTCGTGGTTGTAGAGCTCGCCGTTGACGACGGCGGAGATGGTGGGCGCGACGGGAGGGTGAGAGTCGTGGAAGGGCTGGTTGCCGGTGGGAGAGAGGTCTAGAATGGACAGACGGACGTGACCGAGGCCTTTTGGAAAGGGTGGTGTCAGGAAAAACGGCTGTCGATTAGACGCTTCACGAGGGAAAGGGGATACTGACCGACCTGGTGGTTCTCACTGTACCATGTTCCTCTTACGTCAGGACCGCGATGGGCGATGATATCAAGGCTGCTCTCGAGCTCTTCGACAACCTGTTTGGTCTCCTCGGCGCTTCGGTTGGAGGAGCCATGGCTCATGAAGGCGCTGATTCCGCACATGTTTGCTGGGTTGGAATGACCTAAACAAAGCGAACCATGGAAAAGTTGACGTTGTGGCCTCTCTATTCACGCCTCTGGCAGCTAGTCAACGTCGAATCTAGTAGAGGATGTTATTACAAATTTCACGAGTCATCTATCTATCGATAACACGGGCACTTCTGATTCAGACGAGCTACCATGTGTCGACAGGAGATGCCCTGAGACTCGCGCTCGCTCTCTAAAAGTACTTTGGTAGTGTCCACAAGTTCAAACACAAGGTCTTCATGGAGATGGAGGCACTAATGCTGCTTTGGCCGTAAGCACAGCATGGGATTTCCACCAGCCCCACTGCAAAGTGTCAGGGTCTTTCCTCTTCCACCAGCGTCGCGCTGGAAGTAAGCCAGCCGAGCGCGGCACAGCGATCACGGAAGCCTCCATCTTCGGAGGAGAGTGTTTTGCGGACGAACGGACGAACCACGTGTCCCATTTATTACAAGGATATATAGTAGAATGTACTTTGTACAAAGCAGGGTGCGTCTGTAACAGATTTGTGGACTTTTCGCTACCTTGTCAAAGCATGACAAGTCGTGATGGCATGGGGGGCGGGGGCTGAAGCGTGTGTTATGGGTCCTGGAGCTTATGCCATCTTCTGGACCTAGACCGGAATCATTGGATATTTCACATCTTAATCCATCACAAAGTCCCATAATGGGCCTGGTGGGTCATCTTTGACCGTATCCTGAACCCACTGTTCAAGCTTTACAGCGTTACCAGCTCTTTAGTAATACGCAGGCGAAGTGTTACTGCTCCGCAAGAAGTCGGCCCCACTTGTGATGCATCTCATCGCTGCGGTCCAGAGGATGGTTCCCGCCTGCGAGCCGGTCCGGACAAAGCCCGGGGCCCCGGGCGGGACGTTCGGGCGTCTAGATCGGCACATTACCTGACTCGTATACTGCTGTGTAAAAGACATTTCGACGCACTATGCCGGCCAAACTGCGGCGTACTTTGTGGTTCGTGTTTGGAATAAGAAGAGGTGGGTTTGTTGAGACTGGCCTGCACCAAATGCCTCAGCTCACAACGCATACCTCGGGTCTAGCCCGGCCACCGGGGCTCTATACCATTGCGTACACCTCCAAAGGACGAAGGGTGCCACAATGACAGAGTTTTTGAACTCAAAGTCCCGCTTGAAATGATACGTGTATTCAGTCGTGCGAAATTCAATGCTATGGCTGGCTGATATTGCACTATCGTAGTCCAATACCTCTTCAAACGGTGGCCGGAAGCACAACCCAACGGTCTAGAGTTTTGGTTTGCTCGTGCATTTGGGACCCTTCAACGCTCATCAGCACGACTTTTGGGCACTGATCGGCAGTTTAAAGGGACAATACCAAGAGTTTTCCGGTCTGTTTACAGGACCTACGTAACATGACGGGTCAGAGGAGAAGCGCTCTTGCCCAGTGCCAAGCGTGATTTGTATGCCTCGGATAATACGTTGCGATTTAAGCTTTGTCAGGATCCTATACCATGTATCGTGTACCCACAAAGTCTGATTTGCAGCTCGTGAAGACAGGGGAGCAGCTGAGATGCACCAGCAAGGCAGCAAAGGAAGGAAAAAGAGCCGAGCCACCCGAGTCACATCTACTACCACGGCGGTTAACTCAGACTTCAGACTCTCGCGGGATTCATCCCGACTAACTGCTTTCGTCAGGGAGAAGCCGAAGATTTTATGGCAGCTGTCCCGGGACCCGAGCCGGTCTGGTCAGTATTCTTCCGCTCCGCTAACTCTGGAGATACTATTAGACAGTTAGCACTCATCGGCAACTACGTCTATCTCTGAATACCACAGACTTTCCCATCTCAACCTTACGAAACCTTACAAGGACCATCCCACCACCACCAACGCACTCTTAGCCTCCGCAGATTCAAGAGGGCCTTTGCGAAGAACCAATGGCCACCGTCACCGCTGCGGTGCCAGATCTCTCTGGCGATAACCTCACCTCCTGGCTTGAATCAGAGCACAAGACCCTACTAGACCTCGTGCAAGCAGCATGGGGGATCACACTGGTGAGCTATACAGGGTCTGAGGATGTGGGGTCTCGTTCATACAGTCAGAATGGTGGGGTTAGGTATGGGATCCCCCTCCCTTCCTCAGCTTCGTTCTTAAGTGAGTAAGTTCAGGAGGCTGATAGAATGAATCAAGTTGGTGGCACACTCATGCCTCGGCGAAGCAACCCGTGCGTTCGCTCTATGAAATTCAGCCGCGCGAGAATGTCCCCGAGGAGAGGGAAACTTTAGTTTGGGGGCAACGCTCGGTTGTTTTCGAGGGTGAGGGAGAAGGTTTTCAGGACATTGTGAAGGTAAGTTTTCGTCTCCCTCTCCCGGCTTCATCAAAACGAGTCGGCATCATGGGGAGTCAGGAGTAAGGCTGACAACTCTAAAGCAATTCGATTTTGCCGTGTCTTTCCACGAAGACACCATCAGCGTTAGTCTTCAGCACAATCCTGCCGTTATTGCATCCGAGCAGGCTCGCATGATAGCGGCAACAGCGGCTAGAGCAGTCGCACAGATTGTACGCCACACCAACTCTATCATCTCAGACCTGGACCTCGTCAGTGAGACCGACATTGCTCGCATCTCACAATGGAACTCCACTTCAAACAAGGAGATTGGGCATGCGAAATGCATCCACCAGGTCGTTTCGGTCACAGCCAGCTCCCAGCCCTCCACCACCGCCGTTTCCTCCTGGGATGGCGACCTCACCTACGGCGAACTCGAACGCCTCTCTTCTGCACTGGCGGTGTCTTTAAGGCACTTGGGCGTTCGAGAGAGGTCTTTGTGCCACTTATATTCGACAAGTCCAAATGGGCGATCGTGGCGATGCTTGGGGTGCTCAAAGCAGGCGGTGCATACTTATTCTTGAACCCTACGCATCCAGTTCAGTATAACAAGACACTGTGTCAGCCATTTGATATCAAGCTGGCCGTCTGCTCGCCGAAACACCACGCACTGGCGCAAAGCTTTGCTCCCAGGTTCGTGGAGTTGGGAAGCGAGGCCGGTAAGGACCTCAAGGCTTCGTCACTAGAGGACGAAAGCCCCCCCAAAAGAAGAAAGCCAAGAAACCCCGAGCCCCTCCCAAGCAATGTACGCAACCTTCACCTCAGGCACGACTGGCACTCCGAAATCCATCACCACCTCTCATGACGCCTTTTACCACATGGCCATGGCTACAGCCTCCCCTTCTGCCTTGCACATCTCGCCATCTACCCGCATGCTGCAGTTTGCCTCGTACACGTTCGACGTCGCAAACCTAGATATCCTCATCCCGCTCATGTTCGGGGGCTGCGTGTGCGTGCCCTCGGAGCGGGAGCGCGTCGAAAATCTCGGCGGGTTCATCGAGAGAACGGGTGTCACGCTGGCGAGTTTGACGCCGAGTATGGCGGGAACGCTGCGGCCGGCTTCAGTTCCAAGCTTGAAGCGGCTTGTGCTCGGCGGAGAACAGATGACGGAATCGCACGTTCAGAGTTGGACGAGTGATGAGGATAACAAAGTGGTGCTCTTCAACGCCTACGGCGTTAGCGAAGCCACCGGAATCGCAGCTCTTGCGCAGGATGTCCGGCTCGGTGGTGATTCCTCGCCCTCCAACATTGGCCGTGGCAACGGTTGCACGCTTTGGGTTCTCTCCATGATCGACCCTTCCCGCCTGGCGCCCGTTGGCGCTCTGGGTGAGCTCGTTATTGAAGGGCCATCTGTTGCACGCGGGTACCTGAATGACCCGGAGCGCACGGAAAGATCCTTCCAGGCGGATCCAGAGTGGAAGAGGGCTTTTCTCCAACGGCTTCCTGAGAATACGAATGGAGACGAGAAGGGTGATAAGAGGTTCCCTTGGACAAGAGCGTTTCGGACGGGTGATTTGGTCCGATACAGTCCCCGTTTGGACGGAACGCTGGAGCTAGTGGGCAGAAGAGATCATCAGGTGAAGGTCAATGGGCAGCGACTAGAGTTGGCGGCGGTGGAGAGTCAAGTTGTGGCTTGTACGCAACTCGACCCGTCCACAGTAACATTTCAGCATGCTGCCGTGGTGGCCGTGAAGACGAAAGAAGGGTGGGGTGGCACGAAGCTGGTTGCATTTCTCGGCGTCGAAACCTCCCGCAGGCCATCTGCAGCAAGCCCCGAAACGAAACTTGAAGGCAGCTGGGAATTACAAAACGTGTTGCAGCATCACCTTTCACAAGAGATGCCCGCGTTTATGGTTCCTTCTGAATTCATGTTCCTTCTGCATATGCCGCTCACTTCATCGGGGAAGATAGACAGCGTGTTGCTTCAGACAGCGATTCGTGAACTTGCCCGCCGTCAGACCAGAATGTCGGGTGTTGGTGGTGAACAAGCTGGGAGCGAGATCACGACGACCGCGGAGAAGGTTCTTGTCCAAGCTTGGTCCAAAATATTTGACATCGACGAGGAGAGCATCTCGAGGGAAGATTGTTTCTTCCAACGAGGTGGAGATTCGATCGCAGCCATCAAACTCGCCGCACATCTTCGCGAGAAACGGATTCAGCTTAGCGTTGAGGATGTCTTCAAATACTCCACCCTCGCCGACATGGCCGCTCTTCCTGTCCTCGTCCAAGGCGTCAACGCTGGCACGCACCGCCATCTCCCAAGCATCACCGCGGTCATCAGCTGTCCCGCCTCCTTTCTCGCTGCTGAAAGCTCCCCGATCAATCATCCCAGCCATTCTCAAGGGAGTCGGTCTCTCAAGAGAGAAGATTGAAGACATCTATCCGGCAACACACATCCAAGCGGGCGTCATCGCGCTTACGGCACAGCATAGTGGTGCGTATATTATCGGCAGCTACACCTGGCCCATATGCCATGATATCTCTGTCGCAAAACTCAAACAGGCATGGGAGAAGGTATGGAAGATGAACCCTGTTCTCCGGACTCGTGTTTTGTAGGTTTCAGAGGGGATATTTCAAGTTGTGACTGAAAGTGGTTGTGATATACCATGGACAATGGTCGACGATGTTGACAAATCAAGCTTATCAGTTGAAATTGCTGTGGATGGGAAGAGCCCTCTTGTACGCTTGTATCTGAGCAAGGAAGCCTTTCGGCTGGACATTCACCACGCGCTCTTCGACGAATGGTCTTTGGATCTCATTCTGGAGCAGGTTGACAAGGCGTATGCTGGACAATCTCTGCCTTACCGACCCTTTTCACCATTTGTTCAAAACCTCCTTACTCAAGAGCAAAATGTCGCCGCTGATGAGTTTTGGAGAGCAAGTTTCGCCGGCCTACGAACTGAACATTTTCCTCCCGGCAGCAGCATTACGCCCTCCACCGTCGAGAAAGTCATTCTCGAACACACCCTCTCTCTCGACCCTACCTTGACGAGTGCCCACTCTAAATACACACTCTCCACGACTCTCCGTTTAGAGTGGGGTATCATACTCTCAAACCAGACTGATTCTCCGGATGTGGTCTTCGGTGCAACAGTCACGGGTCGAAATGCGGACAACCTGGAACTCACAGGACCCACCCTTGCTACGTTGCCTGTTCGTGTCAAGGTTCCAGGAGACCAAGCCATCCACACGGCGCTGGAGGAAGCGCAAAAAGGCTTTGCCGATATGATGGCACATCAACAAACGGGCCTGTTGCGGATTCGAGCAGTGAGTGGCGAGGCGGCTGACGCGTGTGGATTTCAAAACCTCCTCGTCGTCCAGCAACAGACGGCAAAGATGGACAATCAACAATCCTCACCCAGCAGTATTTTCGAATCTTCGGCAAGCATAGGGGGCTCAAAGTCGCCTGACAACGCGAAGGCATTCGCAAGTTATCCGCTTGTCCTCACTTGCCGCCCCTCTCAGCACTCCATCGCCTTCACCGCCGCCGTGGATCCTACCCTGTTGGATACGGACACCACGCGCGGCATACTGAGGCAGATGGCGCATGTTGTGCAACAAATTCTGTCCTCGACTTCCTCCTGTTCCTCCCCCGAGGCACATGACTTGCGGATCAAAGACATCGACCTCATGCCACGACAGGATGTGGAAAGGTTGCGCAAATGGAATAGCATTCTACCAGCGGGGGTCGAGACGCCCATCCACAACACCATCCGCAAGAAAGCCGGTTCGCAGCCGGAGAAGGTTGCGGTCCATTCTCATGGTTTAAATTTGAGCTATGAACAAGTAGAGCGCTACTCGAACTTGTTCTCGCAGCATTTGTACGCCGCGGGTGTGGACAAGGGGGACTTTGTGCCGTTGTTAATGGAACGCTCTCCATGGGCGCCAGTCCTGATGCTGGCCGCCCTCAAACTCGGCGCAGCCTTTGCCCTGCTTGATCTCTCACACCCTGTCCAGAGACTCCGCACGATGTGCACCGTGCTATCGGCCAAAAGAGTAGTGTGTTTCCCTCATCATCAAACAATGGTGGAGAACGATCTGTTGCTGCCGGAGATTATCTTCGATCCGGAGGTCATCACAGATGTTTCTCAAAGCACCCAAGATGCTCCCGCTAGACTGGCAGAGATAGAAATGGATGCCCCGGCCTGCATTGTCTTCTCGTCTGGCTCAACTGGTCTCCCAAAGGCCATCCAGCTCACGCACCGCGCGCTGTCCACTTCGGCGTATCACCTCTCCACCACCGGCCATCTCTCTCAATGCTCTCGTGTCTTCAACTTTTCCTCGTTTGCATTCGACCTCTCCATCGGCGAACTGTTGTTCTCACTCAGCGCGGGCGCGACGGTCTGTGTGCCGACCGAGGAAGAGAGACGAGCGAACCCGTCCAAAGCCGCTGGAGATTTGGGCGTAACGTGGGCTTTGCTGACGCCCTCCGTGATCGGCCTGCTTGACCCTGAAGAGGTGCCTACGCTGCAAGTTCTGGCGTCGGCGGGGGAGCAACTTACGTCGCAGATTGTGGAGAGATGGGCAGGGACGGTGAGGTTGTTCAACATGTATGCGCCGGCCGAATGTACCGTCATCTCGCACATTTCGCGCATTTTACCAGAAGCAGATACACCGCCGGCGTGTATCGGTCGCAGTCCCGGCGCCGTATCGTGGGTGGCGAGCCAGAACGATCACCACAAGCTTGTGCCGATTGGGACCATTGGCGAACTGCTCGTCGAAGGCCCCGTCGTGTCGTCAGGATACCTCGGAGACGCCAGGAAAACGGATGCTGTGTTTCTTTCTCCTTCGAATCCACCCTCATGGCTGACCCAGATCCGCGGCAAAGCTCAGGGCGGCAAGATTGGCCGGGTGTACAAGACGGGGGATCTGGTGAGGCAAAGAGAAGATGGCACTTTGTTGTTCGTCGGACGCAAGGATGATCAAATCAAGCTACACGGGCAGAGGCTAGAGGTTGAGGAGGTGGAACTCAGCATCACCTCGCTGTGCTCGAGTGTCCACAAGGTGGCGGTGGATTGTGTCAAGATCGCGGAGAAAGGAGGAGGACAGAGAGCGTTTTTGGTCGCTTTTGTCGCGCCGCATGAGTTTGAAGATTGGGGAGAAGTCGGAAAGGAGGGTGGACTGGAAGTGATCCAGGACCTCAACGACAACTTCTACAACACCATCGAGAGCCTATACACCTCTTTCCAGGACACCCTACCCTCATACATGCTCCCCTCGTATTTCCTTCCCTTTTGGAATATTCCCCTCAGCTTGTCCGGAAAAGTGAACCGCAAACTGTTACGGGAAGAATCGACAAATCTCCTCAGCAGCCAGGACCACAGGGAGAAGTACCAACTTCGCACGCGCACAGCACGCGAGCAAGCAGCAGACGGAGAGCAGGTTCCTCTCACGGAACATGAGACCCAAATCCTCCAAATAATCGCCCAGGTGTTGCATTTGGATGCGCAACAAGTGCCCATCAAGGGCAACTTCTTTGGCACAGGCGGTGATTCTATCTCGGCCATGCGTGTGGCTGCGCTCGCTCGACGCAACGGACTTCGCCTGGGCGTCGTCGAGATCTTCAAGCATCAGATCCTATCACAAATCGCGGCTTCTTGCTGTCCAGAGTCAGACACAGACAGCACCACTCCAGACTTTTCGGAAAGCTCGTCGACCACAGACGCCACGTCTCAAGATTCTTCTGAAAGCTTGTCGACCACCGACAGCAACAGTGAAAAGGCCCTGGGATGTGAACTACCACCTGGTCTACCACATGAAGTGGCGCAGCAAGTGGAACTAGCTCTCCCCGCGACAGATTTCCAGACAATGACGCTGTACAACTTTTACTCGCGCTATCTGTGGATTTCGCTTCCGGACAACCCCGATATTGAAAGGTTGCAGCAGGCGTGCCAGCTGTTGACGGAGAAGCATTCGATTCTGCGGACCGTGTTTTACACCACAACCACCACCACCGCCACTGGCTCCATCGTCCAGCTCGTCCTCCGCAGTTTCTCGATGGACCTGAAACATCACAAAGACATCGAGTCATTGGACCAGCACTTCACCAGCGATTCGTTGTCCCACGGGCCCCCGGTCAACGGAGCCGAAGGATTCCAAGTGCAACTGCTCACACTACGTGACAGGCAGAAGAAATACCTGGCACTGAGACTCCCGCACGCCCAATTTGACGGGTTATCTCTCAATGTCCTCGTCGACGACATGTCGGCCGCCTATGATGATAACACTAGCCATTCTCTAGCTCCCTGCACACAATTCTCGGACCAGGTCAAGTGCGTGACAGAAACAAAAACGACACATGAAGCGTACCAAGTTTGGAAAGATGTCCTTGACGATGCGGAGATGACGAGATTGGATGGCCAAATTTTGCGCCGCGGAGATGGCGTGGCGAGAACAGAGGAGGGTGGGGAGAGCGTTAAGGAAGAGTTGAGCGTCGTGACAGCCATGACCGAGACAGCGCCGTTGGTGGCGCCAGCGGGTATCACGATGGCTACGTTGGCGAAGCTGGCCTGGGCTCTCACACTATCAAGGCTCTTCTTGGCAAAACAACTCAACGAAAAGGGGCCGGAATGCGGAAGGAGTGTGGTCTTCGGTCAAGTCATCCACGGCCGCTCACTGTCCCTCCCTTATGAAGACAGGATCGTGGGGCCGTGTCTGAATATCATCCCCGTCCGGGTTCTTCTACCATCCACCACGCCCAATCTGGAGGACCCAGTCAGCACGCGGATGCTTTTGGAGCAGATCCAATCGCAGCACATGGCCACGCTCCCGGTAGAGAGTCTGTCCCTCTCGACCATTACCAAATACTGTACCCACTGGGCACCGGGGACACAGTTTGGGAGTTTTGTGAGGTTTCAGAATTTTGAGGATGATAACGGCATGCGATGTTCTATGAACGGAGAGAGCTGTGAGACTGGGTTGTGGAGTCTGCCCAATAAGCCCTCCAAGACGGCGAATGTATTGATTATGCCGAAGATAAAAGGGAGTTTGCAAATTACGCTTACGGTAGGGAATATGGTGTTAGGTCAACAGGACGCGGATCATGTTGTGGGATGCTTCAGAGAGGTTCTAGAGAGTCTCGCAGGAGGCGAAAAGGTCATGTGAGAAAGTTTTAGTATTTCGACTAGATTCACATTTGACAGTGGGATGGGTTGTTTTATATTGTTGTTATTGTTATGCCGTCACTTATGAAAGGTTTGCCTATCAGACTTTAAGCGTGATTTTAGAAGAGCTTCATTATGGCGCCTAGTACGCCCACATCATTCCACACCCTACGTTCTCACCAATACAACTTTTTCTAACGGAAGGCAGCTTAGAAGTCTCTTTTTCGGTGTGTTGTCTTGTGTGTATCTAGCGAAATCTCTTGTACTGCGATCTGCGGCTAAATCTGCCTGTAGCCCGAATACCTCTGAAGCTCAGTAATGCCGATCGGAACAGCCGGATTCCTCTCCGCTTTTAGGCAGAAAGGTGGGTGGATCCTTAAATCAGACAGGTGAATCAGCTATTAATTCAACACAGAAACCCTAACTTCAGAAATCCATCATCCAAGCACACAACTCTCCAGGAACAATCTTCACGGTTTCCCAACAAACCAGCGAACATGGCGTTCCGCGTCGCCATCCTCACAAATTTCGACCCGGACGAACCAGGTGGGAGCGAGATGTTATCCAGAATCACCACTCTCCTCCGCTGCTCCCGAACAGGTGCTACTGAGATCACTGTCCACGCCGCCATCCGCGGCGATGCCTTCCCGGACCCGTCCGAGTACGATCTAGTGGTTCTGACAGGAGGACCATTCAACCTGTTGAAACACGCCGAGGAGAATGAGAGACCGGAGTGGGTGCAGCGAACACTTGGCTGGATCCAGGAGATTGTGAAAATTCACAATGCAAGTGGGCTCAGTGAGCCAGGTAGTCAGAAGAAGGCCAAGTTACCGGGTATCTGCTGGGGTCATCAAGCCATTTCCTTGGCTCTTGGAGGGCGGTTGGGACAGGTGCCGCCGGAGAGAGGCGGGCAATTAATTGGTGTTGAGACCGTCCCTCTCACTTCTCAAGGCGTTGCTTTCTTCAAAACTGAATCGCTTGTATGGACCTACCTACTCAAGACCCTTCCGATCTTCCTACAAACCAACAGAAAAGCTAACATATGCCTCTATCTTTACTGTAGGACATTCAAAAAAATCACGGCCTTGTTGTAACTCACCCCGGGCCATATCTTACATCTATCGCTTCTGGCTCATCTTCATCTCAAAACGAGGTTCTTCTTTCCCACAGCCCTCCTATTCTCACCTTCCAAGGCCACCCAGAGATGGACGCCGCTCTTGCAAGACTATTTGCCGGGTTTGCGACGGGAGGCGCGTCGGACCGTGCAGATTGGATTCCGTCGGAAGGGCTGAAGGGTATCGACGACGTACATGATGGGGAGGCGATCTTGAAAAGGGTGGTGGCGTGGGCGGACGAGTAGAGGAAGTCAGCGAGGCTGAATTGGGGTCTGCTGAGAGTCGTATCAGCGGACGCGTGTGTTGGACGTAGGCTCCACCTTTTTACCTAGAAGCGGTAAGGCCTTACACATCGATGGTGATGAGTAAGTAAGCTGTAAATAGTATACAGCCAACAAAAGCAGCCAAGAGTAACGTGGGATATAAAGACCTGCCCATCCAGAGTGAAGGCCCGTCAATCATGTAATTAGCCGCTGCATGTTGAGATTGTTGGATTAACGACTGTGTCTGGATAAAGGGATGCTAGAAATGCATTGAATAATATGCAAGAACCGGTGATGATGGGTAAATACAAGACAGAACCCCGCTCGGAACTGGATAGGAGGAAATCCCTCAATCAAGCAGAACAGTCACCTTTTGATCAATGGACCTCAGTGGTATTGCATTAAATCAACATCGTTTGTCCAACAAAAATCAAATACACTGGTCAATTTCAAGATGGTCTACTGGCACAAAGACAAGTGGGCTTTAAATCCCCTGCGTTATCCTCACTTGCATACACCATGTGCAAGAATCGCATCTCGATGAACGACGAGTGATGGTCCTAAATGCTATACACCGGGTCTTAGGTCATCGAGGAAGCCAAAAAGGAGCACCGGCGGATTCAATAATACAGAAGATCACGCTTACGCAAATAACCTTGTGAATGCTGAAAATTAGGAAGTGTATCATCGAAATTCACTGAGTGTCCAGCTAGGGGTGCCCGCTATCAATATTAGCTAAGATCAAGGCCTGCTTGCAAATTCAATAAGGACTCTGGAGAAGAAAAAAATGAATATGAAAGGCATCCAAGTATGGTCGAATGATCACCCAAGGTAAGTTCTAGACATCGCCAGCATATGAGAATGACGAGGTTGCGACGTTATACTGTTCGCAGTTCTCCATTAGCAAAAATTGAAAAACGCACCAATTTGAACAACGTACACTACGCTACGTTAATAGGCGTTTGATGACTTTGTCCACTTCTTCCCTTTTGACTCTCCCTAGTGTCACTTCGATGCCCCTTTTTGATGGATGAACGATTGGCACCCATGGAATAACGACGGGCTATTAGATGTTCAAATGTAGTGGCTATGCATTCATTCCAAAGATATTGAAGCCATTCGAGAGGAACCATCAGGGAGCTCTTTCTGCCTAGTGGGAGTGGCGGGATGCCTTGCTGATGGGTAATTGTACTCTTTGCTGGACTTCACTTCTACGAAGCCCACTGGCTTTCTTTCCATGCATCATAAGCCATTACATTGCGTGGGTAAAACAGGATACCCGAGTCGCCACAAGGGCGCGCGCACTTGGGTCACAGGTACCGGATGATACATAGCACAGTTTTGGTCAGCAACAGAAACAAAATGCCTTGCATAAGCGCTGCATCGGCAGAATGCATAATTGCGCAATACATCAAATGTGTTCTCATAGGTGGTGGACAGTTCAAGTTCAACAATTATATCGCAACGAGAGAATCAGACCCAAGTCAAGGGTGGCGGAAACTGAGGCACCCATAGCAAAGCTTTCTACTATTCTGCGGTAGCGTTGATTCCTTGGTTTCATGCCAACTCACACTCAATCAGACTCTCAACGCCATTGCCAACATCGTGGATCTTCAAGACCGTCAATCCAGCCTTGTCCAACAACGTTTTCCACTCAAGACGAGTTCTCTCTTTACTACTAACAAGGGTTAGCATCATGATATCTTGTCCGGTGTTTTGCTAATCGGCGCCAGTATCCGGAATGCAGTTTTCGTTGACCAGCAACCTGCTGTAACCGTGTTTCATAGCAGCCGTCGTCCTTGCCAAGATCTCTTCGCATTTGATGTCTGGCCAGTCGTGGAGCACGGAATGCATGTAATAAGCCCGCGCGCCTGGGAGATTCATTGAGTCAAACTCATTCGTGTTGTATCAAGGTCAGGCTGAGGACTTACCCTTGATTGGTTGCTCATCGAAAAAGTCATGTCCCATTCTCTCGATCGTCTTATCCAACTTGTCGATCTGGTTGATGACGCTCGGCAGATCCTGCAGGACAAGCCTACCAGGAGCCTTAGGATACTTCTTGCGAAACTCGTCAATGTCGTGGCCAAAGCTACCACCGACATCAACGAGAAGAACTCCATCTTCGGAGTGGTCGAAACCATCAAGAAGGCGCTCCTTTACGGGGTAGAATCCCTTATCCATCCAGCTTGGTCTGCCTTGTCTATACGCGCCCATGTGTTGTGCAAACTGCATATCGCACGGTGCATTAGCGGCAAAGTGGCTGAAGCAGTCGAGCTTTGTGTTATATCCGTATTGCAGAGGGCTGTTAAGAACATCGTGGGGCTCGCGGTAGTTGGTCTTCTTGGCAAACTCGTGGAACTTTGCAAGAGCTTCCATGCAGGCACCAGCACTGGACATAGGTTGGATCATTAGTAAATTGAGGATTTCATGAATGTTTTGGACCGCACTCACACGCAAGGATAACCAGCTCCCATACTTGTGATTGTCAATGCATTGGAGAAGTTCGTTGGTTTGTATTCATCCGGCCCGGTTTCGGTGATGTATTGCATCGCTCCTAAATGCCGCATGATCCTACCTGCTACGCATTAGCACCACATCTGAAGTGAAGTATTCTCGTGAAGAGACATCACACCAAGTAGAGCTGGATCATGTCCGAGTCTGCAAGCGAGGTCGGATACTCGTTGAGGTGCTTGAGTCTGAGCCATCAAGGTGAAGAGTCCCGAGTCCACGGCGTATGTGAGTGCAGTGAATGCAGCGGGCTATACAAGAATCACACATTAGACATGTCTTGAAGGTATAAACAGGTAAAGTTATATCGCACCTGCGCCCAACAATGCTTGATCATAGTCTCTCGCGGAGTCTCCAGGGCATGGACGAGTGATCGTGCGTTTGCCAACATCTTGAGACGAGCAGTGTCATTTCCAGAAGCCACAACCTCGGTCAGACCAGCAATATTCTTCACATGTTGATTGACGCTGGGAAGGTCACACGCGCTCAAAGCAACAGAGATGTCGACCTCCTTGGGTGGTTCTGGTATGGAGCCCATTTTGCGGGTGTGGAAGAAACCGAACACGACTTGGAGTTCAACGTACAGAGAAGACGACAAAGGGGAAGTAAGGAAGCAATGCCGACTACCGAATTCAAAATACGCAATGCGAAGATGAGCTGCTGGTGTGAGGACACTGGCCATAGACCTATCTTTAATGAAACTGAGCCAAATTGACAGCATGGGTAACCATAGTCCCAACTGTCTATTCCTCCGGCGCGACCAGCGGCTTTCCCGGCCAACTCCTGGCCCCGCCCATGATGCTTTAAACCGATCCAATCCCTCTCCCTCCTAGATGACATCTCATGATTTCTAGCCTCTGCTGTCGGCCAGACCCTTAAGGAGCTTGTCTCAAAAGGGCAGGTTGCCGGATATTAGTTGCTATCGGGAGGTGGCGGAGGAAGGTGATGGACCTTGTCGGGACCGTAGGCAGCTTGCGCGATGCTCAAGTTCCGTTGAACTTTCTGATTCGGCGCTCTTGCTGGGTCTTGCTCCAACGCGTTTCCATGAGCTAACACTTGTGTTTTCATCCGTTCCACTCTGATTGTGGTTGAAGGAAGTTTGAGGGGCACCTTCCTATCTCCAGGGGCTACACAAAAACTTGACAAGGGGATTCCAACGTTCCTGCATAGAATGGGCTGATGTTGTTGTTGTTGGTTCAAGAGAAATCACATGTAGTCCGGCCATTGGACGAGGACGCTTTCAAAGTGGAAACTGTCCAGGATCCCGGAACGACTTCCGGTGGAGCTTGCGGATCGTGATCCCCGCGGTTGCGGCCGCAGGCCCGACATGTCCGAGCATTGCGCGTTCTTGATGGGGAAATCTTCACGATCGTGCATGGGTATTTGTCTGTTGGTTCAAGTCGTTCCACCTCCAGGTCATTAAATCTGCTCACCGGAATCCACACACAGGAGTCCTTCGGGGCTAATGTAAGCTTCAGGTCGAAGGATGGGTCACCGGCGTCTGCTTGCTCTGCCACTCCCCCCTAATCGAGACTTATGAATGTTTGGCCAGATTCTCTGCCGGACTGTTGCAGGTATCTCCCTCGTGGCCAGGGGAGTTGGGTGATAGCAGGCTTGCGTCGGAACCTGCACCTTGCTCGTAGGTATGTCGGCATCGCACCAACAGCGGCGGAAAACTGGGTCTCTTCAGTCCTCGCGCGATGGTCCAAGGTCTTTTCCGGTAGCATTATCGGAATTCGTGTAGAAGTCTACGTGCCTCGCAGCAACCTCGAAGGAAAGTTGCGAATGTTTTCCCTCCCTCATCATGTGTCTCGTTTTCTTCTGCGATCGCGGTCGTGAACATGGCTGACACGTCACTAACAAGTCAGTCATCCGCCGAATCTAAAGGCACAAGCATAATAGCAACCATCTGCATCATTGTCGACATCAGCACTCTTTTCGTCCTCGGTAGATTGTTTGTGAGAACCAAGATTCTTGGAAAAGCTCACCTGGATGACCACTTGATGGTCCTGTCACTGGTAAGAGTGCTCATTTATCTAGTAAGAAGCCTCAGACTGCTGACATCCTTTCTCCAGCTTCTCAGCTATGTCACAGTCGGACTCGAGATATGGGCCGTTCAAAGTGGCAACGTTCGCCACGTCGGTACGCTTTCCACAGAACAGCAGTCCGCCGCTGTCTTGTCGACGATTTCCGGCTTCCCACCCAATGTTCTCGCATATACGGTGCCCAAGTTCGCGGTGGTAGCGCTACTAGTCAGGATACTTAACCCGGGAAGGATACTTAACCCGGGAAGGGTCCATCGCATCGTCTTATGGTCACTGGCAACAATCTGTCTGGTGCTCGTACTGTTGTGCATCATCATCCTATTTGCCCAATGCACACCATCACGAGCGCAATGGGACTTTACGATCACGGAAAAGAGCTGCTGGAGCCCCTGGGTGCTGATCGATGTTGCTATTTTGACTGGTGGTACGTGATTATCTCTCGCAGACACTGAACTGCGTCGAAAGATAACATATTTCTGCAGCATATTCGGCCGCACTTGATCTGTACTTAGCAATATACCCCGCCACCGTTCTGATGAGGCTTCAGATGAATATCAAAAAGAAGCTTATTCTTAGTGTTGCGCTGGGCATTGGATCAATGTGGGTATTCTCGACCCAAGCTGTTCATTGCTTCTAGACACTGACCTGTATATGGCAGTTCCTGCTTTATATCGATCTACAAGAGCACGCGGCTGCCATCTCTCGCCAGCAAAGACTTCACCTGTAAGCCAACCTCGAGTCGCAGACGATACCATACTCACTTATTTTAACTAGATGATAGTGCGGACCTTGTAGTTTGGACAGTGTATGTAAAATGATGCTTTGAAACATTATGATGGAGAAGCTAATGTCACCGCAGAGTCGAGGGTAACACTCTCATCATCGCTTCGTGCATTCCCGTCCTCGGCCCCCTCGTCGAGCTGGCCTTGGGCCGTCGCGTCCTAAGCTCGACCGACCGGAAATATCAGAAACAGAGCGATACAGGTGGCCTTCGATCGGGTGGAATCGAGATGGACGGCTCTAGACCCATGAACCGGAATGGACATGTCGTCGGCAAGACCTCAACTGTCATTCAGTCACGGCATGACCGAGACGACGCTAGTAGCCAGGAAAGTATTCTCGTTGGGACCGCTGAGTCGGCTCACAGACCACGCGGCATTATGAGAACGGACGATGTTACGGTATCATTCGACTCCCGAAGCGTAGCGGATGGGAGAAAAGAAGGAAGGTGATGAGCCGAAATGGGATGCCTTCCAGTCACGAGACTAATCAACTGCTTGGGCAGATACGCGCGACGGCGGCTTTGGCAGATTGGGCGCGTACCGAACTTGTTTTGCAGCATTCCTATGACTTTGTTTCATCGTACTTTCTGTCTTGTCTTATATGGTGGCTCAAAAACAGCTGTCAAAGTACTCTCTGACTTGAGGTGGCATCTCGCGGTAGTGCTCAAGCTTTCCATCCACAATCAAGTCCTTCAAAGTCGCCTTCTTGTACCCCTCGACCTCCCAGAGATCTGTTCCAACCATCTGCGCCTGCTGGCCTGTGCCCCATATTTTGCGACAGTACCACGACAGGGTAAACAGACTGCCTGAAGCAAGCCCATCCTCAATCTCTCTGTTGATCTTCTCCAGGCTGTGGTTAGATACTTGAGGTGGCTCTCCGTTCCTCTCCTTCAGCGCATTTGCAACGTCTCCTCCTGTGGGTGAGAGTTCTGTCAAAGCTATGGCCCGATTTTGAATTTGAGCAATTGGCGTCTTGGTGAAGATGGACACATAGGCCGCCGCCACGTAGTCTCTTGTGCTGCAAATAAAAAGATGTCAGCCTCAAGTTTTGTAGCAACCGCATGGCGCAGTTCCAGACTTACCACAAGTTGACTTTAGCCTCAGCGCTGTTGGCGGAGTTGATGAGTCGATTCCCTGATATGTCGACACCCATGCCACTACGAGGAAAGGAAATCAGCACATCAAATCAATTGAACGGTTCACCGCACTCACAGCGTGTTCAGCGCAAACTCTGCAAAGTTTCCGACGAGGACAACCGTAGTTGAGATGCCTGCGGCCTTCGCCGCCCTCTCGACCTCGTCCTTATTCTTGTTGACGGCGATACGCATGCCCTGCTCATCGTAGCGGGCGGCCAAGTCGGATAGCGAGAACAGCTTTACATTGGTCTTCGGAATGGCTTTTACGAAGCCATGCTGTCTCTGAACCCCCTCATGACCAACAAGTGAGCTAGTGAGAATATTTGTCAGTACTCTCGAATATGGCGGCTGCGTCATGGATCTTACATGACGATGTCTATGTCCTTGAGGGCGCCGACTAGACGTTCCTCATCGTTGACATCTACTTTGACCTTCTCGACATCATCTGGAAGGCTGGATACATCTGATCCAGGACGGGTCAGTACCCTGACTGGCGCGCCGGAGGCGATCAATGCCTTCACGATTCGGGAGCTTCCCCAGCCGCGATGGCCATAAACAGCGATTCGGTTGAAAGATGACATGGTCGGCTGGGACAAGTGTAGGCGATATAGATGAATGATCCTGCTCAGATGTGGCTTCGGGCGCAATGTTGACACGGAACATGAGATGAGGGGGAAAGATCCTTCGGTTTATGTAGTTCGTGGCTGAAACGGTAACTAAGACATACATGCACCCTCCTTCCACTTTGCATCGGATGTCCGGGACCAAGAAAATTGGTATGGCTTACGAAGAAATTTATTGGACTCACGATATTGACAAGTAATTATTGACTGGATCACTAGCCACTTTTCGTTTTCGTTCCCGGATAGCCGCTCACCGCCCCACATCGACAGCCAAATGCCAACGTTAAGTGGCTTGCGGATCGCATGTTCTGGGGTAGTAATTGATCTTGATGTGCGATCGTGGTGGAGATTTGGTCCTGATGAGCAGTTTGTGCGTTGAATCCTAGCCTCGGTGATAAATCGATGCTGAACGATCACTCAATGCGGCAATGTTTTGCTTCCGAAATGATACCCACACAATGCTTCGGAAGCCGGGTGCTCGTGGAGTGGCGCCGGAAGAGCGCCTTAGGGCGCAACGAGCTACTCCATCTGGAAGTGAATTGAGGGCACAGTGCCTGTTGGGGTCCTAAGCCTGTTCTCGTACCATGCAACCGCGTCAATCCTCAGCGATAACTCCGGAAATCTTTTCACTGTGCCGTAAAACTGACCGAGCACCGAAGCCCGGCTCCTCGCCGGTAAACGGCCCCACATCTCGTTCAATCCCCGGACACACGTTTCGGCCCCGGTGCTTATAGTTCTCCGGGTCCCATGAAATATTAGACCTAATTCCTGCGACTGGTCGGATGAGGAAAATTGGGCCGCGGGACGTTGAGGCCGATGGCTCTGAGGCGCAGACGAAGTAAGTGAGTTCATCCGATTCTTGAGACAGCTAGCATAGGAAGTAATGGTTAGGCCTCATTGTTTGGCTTGTCATTACTACATAGTTCACTTTTTGTCCCTGAAAAAGACTGCTTCAGAAGTTTCTGTTTCAACTCAAGCTGCACCCAGGATTTGAAGTAAGCGATGTTCATGACGATTTTAGCACCACGACTACGTAGTGGCTTATCTTGATGGGGAGGAATCACCAACCTCGTATTTACAAGGCTGGCAAACTCGACTTTATCGCTACTATGCCCCACCCACCCACGAAGGATTTCAGGTACTGCAAAGGCCGGTTCTAAGTGCGTTTACTCGAAATCCACTGTCAATCAGGCTGTGCAATCAGCGTTACATGCCATCACGCCGATCAACGGCTCATGTCAGCCTGCGCCGCACCGCAATCTCCTCGCTCTAATCCACTGCTGCATTCGTACTCCGCGGCCAAAAACAACTCACCAGAACTTGTTCTGGGCTACCACGGTCTTTTAACACGATGCCATCCGATCCGAAATTGCGCGATAAATCCTTGGCATTTTACGGCTGAAGATAACGGACGCTAGCCGCTATGTCGCGTGTGAAAAAAGCAGCTGCCTGGCTTAGGCAGGGATAGAGGTCTCATTCTAATCGTCTCAAACGAAAGGGCCACAGCCTTATGAACAGGCGCCACCGGTCCTTACCCTCTCACCCGGAATTTGGAAGAAGCAGGCACGCGGTCATTGTTTCGAGATAAAGAATCTTCACCAGGACACAGAAAGGCAAGAGATGCATTTTTTCGGGGCTTGTTCATCGCATCACATGGACTGCTAATGATCCTTCAGCCCCCAACAAAGTTTGGCGAGGGCGGGGGTTAGGTCCCAGAGGAGCCCAGCCTGGTCTCGACGCCACATGTCTTAACAACCTTAGCTTAATCGAACCCGCCGGTTTGAATAGCACGTTCTAGCAAAGTCTGTTGGTAACTCCCTGTCTTGAACTACGCAGGAGGAGTGCCGGGTACAGGAGCCGCTCGACTGCCTAAATAACTCATAGAAAACGTTACTAATTGAGACAAAGCAGTTTAGAATGTGGAGAAGAATCGTTGTTCGCGTTTCATTGCCATGATCCATGACGTCCTGAATCATAGCTCATCGACTGCTGGTGAAGTCGCACGTGGATGATTATTCGAAGAGGCCTGGTCCTGCAATTGCACCACAGAGATGCAGGAAACAGTGGACCGGTAGGATGCATCACCACCCACTCCCCGGCCCTCTAAAGGCCGAAGGCTGAGAGTACACTAGCCTACATGTGGTAGCCAACCCGGACTCGCATTCCCGCATGCCGCCGTAGCCAGCCTGATTTTCCATCATGGAAGCAGAATTTAACATAAGAAAACCCCATTCGAAAGAGCCTTTTTCTTGTTCCGAAGAAACCTGCAGACTTCTACTCAATGCATTGTTGCCAAGATGGCCTCGCATTCTGATCCCATGGAACTCAATCAGCGGTACACCCGTTTGGGGAATGCCACGCCGTCTGATGGAGAATTCAGTCCAAGCATCGTCTCTTATGACCCGATAGAGCCTGCACCGGTACGTCGAAGGCCGCTTCCAGCAGGTGCCAGAACTACGCTTGAGGAGCCGCTCTTGCTTGAGCAGTCCCCAGATCCTCGCAACAGCATCGACGTCAGTTATGAAAATTCTCAACATCGTTTCTCAGACTCGACACTGAAAGACGACTACATAACGTCGGTCCATCCTTACCATAGCCCCGGCCTAGACTGTGTCGGGAAGCAAATCACCTACGACCCGAATCTCAAACCAAAACCAATCACCCGCACAAACCTACCCCGCTATCTCAATGGATGGCTTATCCATATCCCGGCGCTCGCCTCCACCGCAGTCATCATATGGATCAGCTGGGAAGATTGGTACTGGTTCCCCATGGAAGGGCCCTGGCCTAAACTAGGATTCACTGCCGATGTCATGAACAACATACTTCAGCTGCCCGCCAAGATCCACGAACTTCTCATCGTTGCTTCGTTCTCCTCCATCGCTATAGCAATGCTCCGTCGCCGACTGATTGGTGCCGGCGTGAGTTTGGGGTTTCTTACCGGCGGTTATCGAGTTGGCGACATTCTCTACCTCGCTTCAAAGCCGTTCCGTCACTCTCAAGACCTCAAGAACCCAATATCTTGGGAATTTATTATCGCCCTTTTCCTTGTCTTTGCCACTCTCATGTCCACAGTCGTTGGGCCTGCATCGGCCGTCCTTCTTGTTCCGACTCCCGGATGGTTTCCCTTGGCCCATTCCCTAGCGTTCAGCAACCTTTCCGACCGCTCGCTGCCGGTATTTTACGATTCGATCCCGGAAAGAGTGTGGCCGCACACATTCAATGCAACACCAGACATATCAGAATGCAAGACTATAGATGGAATGTACGAAGCATGGTGTCCGGCTGGTGGCTATTCGGAAATATGGAATTGGGCCGAAAGCTACGGCGCGACCGATTTGAAGAACAACCTCACGTTCCAATTTCCCACGACAGATGTACGACGACATTTGGTACACGTCGAAGCCGATGGTAAATACAAAACTGTCCTCTCAACCACCCCGTCCAACTTCTTCATGATGGGGCTCGGTCTCATCCAGAAGTACATTGATGGCCACAATGTTGGACTTGTACACAGTAGCTCCCGTTACGAGCTCACGCCCCGGCTGGTTAACTACACGCACCCCAACGACCGAGAATTGGACAGTTCAATCTATCAGCCCATGGTGCAGTCTAAATGCAGGGTTTACGAAAAACAATACTTCACCGAGCCGGGTCAAAGCATGACATATCCAACGGAGGCCATGAATTGTTTTGGCGACAGAGACTGCGAGAAAGTTAGGGACACTCCACCGACTTTCAATGAGAAGTTTCTGTTCACCGAAACCGAGGAGGATGAGACGATCTCCACTGAGTACACTATAGAGGGTGGCAAAGTAAGCTCCGTGGTTCTCATCGCCGGACAAGTTCCAAACACAGATGATCACACGAAGGACATAGCCTACACCTGCAGCCTTCTAGCCACTTGGATCCCCTCGAACTTTTCCTTGGACCCTGCAGTCAGCGATGTTCTGTACTCTAGCCTGAGTAATGCAAAGACACTGCGGTCAGTCTATAACCAGACATCGGTTGAAGAGGCCCGCGTCATCAGGTTCAACCGCACCTGGCTTCCGTACCTAAATCCTTCGTACGAGATGACGACTGAAGGTGGCATCAGCTTTAATACCTCAGCCGTGCTCAGAATTATCGACCTCATCGGCGGCTTAGGTTCCAGGGCCAGCAGTTCCAGGAAGTGGCCCATCTATGATAGAAAGGCAGAAGACGCGGAGCTCTTCCTCTCTAAGGTATTCGGTGTCTACCTTACTGAGGCTTTAGCACGCACGGGAATGGCTAGGTCCATGATGATGATACAAGAGGGCGACGACGAAAAGATGCAAGGCATCGATTTGAACACACAGTACACTAACTCCGATGGAATGTTCAACGTCGAGCTGCTCCATTCAAATCAAACTCAATGGAACTTTGGCAGGGGTGTTGATGTGAGGAACTACACTCTTCTGAATTTCGACTTCGACGTCAGGAGATACGGATACGGAACGGGCCATCAGCGGAAGACCGTTACCTTCGCACGGGTGATGATGTACATCTACCTAGCAACGGTTGTGCTCTACGCCCTCACAGTCGGCTTTGCACATGCTGTCGAGCTGACCGGTAGGGGAAGGAGGCTACGGGTCCTCAGTGTAGTGCCGTGGGCGGACCTACAAGACCTAATCGTTCTTGCACTCAAGACGCCTCCTCCCAGAGATGCCGACCTTGCAGACGCTGGCGCGGGGGTCAGCTCCCCTAGTGTGTGGAAGAAGACTGTGAAGGCTCGAGCGGATGAGCAGCATAATGTGCAGCTCGTGCTAAACGACGAGCCGGGGATGGAAAGGTTGGATGTCACTGGGAAAGAGAAATACTTTTGATGGTTCCCGCTGTTTCGAGATTTCGTTGATTTCCTCACTTCAACTCCGTCCTGTTGTGATTCGTCACTACTAGGTATGAAGCATCAACGTGCGCTAAAGGAATTAATACTAGATAAACTACACAACTAATCACCCTCTTCACAAGAACTGTAAAAAGCCATGACGCCAGGCTGCATCAAAATCACATCTAATGGCCATATTCCCTTAGTATAGTCACCATGGGTCTAATTCGCAGCTTGAAAAGGTAAGTTAGTTACGGGAATTTCCTCAAGTCTGGGCATTTCTACCTCTGATTTTCCTTTGCCTACGTTTTCCTGCACAGCATTGGTTTTTGAAATGTGACCGATCTGAATGCGCGGGCGGACATGGTCCCTGAATCACAGGTGGATAGACCACGCTCTCTAGGTATGAGGCCGTTGGATGGTGAACGCACGGAAGTGGAGTAGTGATCTGGATAAGTACCAATTAGACTCATCATGAGAGACGCAACTCGGAAGTAAATCTGCTCACATCACAGTTGCTAATGGATTATTGCAGAGAAACAACAGTCTGAGCCGATCATCGGCTTTGTAACGTCACTGCATCGGCCCAGTTTCACACGCCGCCCAAGGGTTACCGCATTTGAAACGCTCAATCATTCCCCTGCCTGAGACTTAGTCACCAAACTTGACCTCACCGAGCCCTCACCGCGACCATTTAAGGAAACCTGCCCCAAACCCGACGGCTCAATTCCGTCTCCCTGCAGGAGAGCATGTAGGGATGCCGATCGTAGGCGTGCCTGCACAGTCTTCGCACTCGCACCTCAGCGGCTCGCCTCGCGAAGCGACGGATCCCGCGAGCCACAGGAACAGACGAAATGACATCAGAAAGCAACCGAATTGTCGGAAGTCCGTTCTCGTGCCAAGGGACAGGGCAGCGATCGAGTCACGTATGCGACCCTGAGGTTTCTGAAGCTCGATCTGACAGGTGATCTCGGACCGAGAGCCTGGCTTAAAAGGTGATGCATCCGCAAATCTGCGAACCGTTGGCCCACGATCAACCTAAATCTCATCTCGATTCACCATGAAAGAACCCACGCGCAAGCTGAGATACAACGTTGCCACTTCGGTGGATGGCTTCATTGCGCCCCCCGATGGGTCTACGGACTGGATTGTGATGGACTCGAACATCGACTTCGACGCGCTGTATGCACAATTCGATGCGTTCCTGATGGGCCGCAAGACGTACGAGTGCATGTTCGCCATGGGCGAGCAGAACCCTTTGCGAAAACAACCAAAAGAAAATCTCACCGTCTTCAGTCGCACCCTGAAAACGGAAGATCATCCCGCCGTGACGGTCGTGTCGAAGGATGTCATCGGGCACGTGGCGGAGTTGAAGAATGGCGAGGGCCGGGACATTTGGCTGATGGGCGGGGGCGAGCTAGCGGGCTTGTGCCTGAAGGCCGGAATGCTAGATGCGGTGGAGGCGGCGATCATGCCGGTCATGTTGGGGAAGGGGACGCGGATGCTTGAGGAGGCATCGCTGATGCCCCACGGCGGATTCAAGTTGGAGATGGTGGAGAGCAGACATCTGGACGCGAGCGGGATCGTTATGTGCAAGTACAATGTTAGCAGAGGGATGGCCTGCTCACTTGGAGAAGCGTTGACATTTTGCTGATCCACGGATGGACAAGCTGAGCAGAGGCAGGGATTACAGTTGACTGAGGAATACCCCAAAAGTTGCATCTTCAACCTTACGAGTATCTAAATATTGAACAAATTAACAATTTCGTCTTGATCGTAATTGCAGCTGGGAACGATGAGAACGATCGATGACTTGCATGTTCATTTCTCAACATGGCCAATCCCGTGACAATTTGATACTGCCAGCACGTAAAAAAGGACTTTTGTACGATCCGTACCGCGCGATCACGCCACGATTTATAATCGAGGTCACTAAGGAACAACCTGAAGCCCGATTGTACTTCGAGTTTGTCAGTCTTAACCCGTCGGATAGATTGCGGGTCTGAAGGATTCTGGTCGCCTCCGATGACCGTGTAGGATAGGCATGACAGCGAGCTTAAGTCCGCCGCGGGCGATCTTCTTAGCTCCGCTAAAACCCCAGTTACCGTGGTAGTATGATCGCATACAGCATCATCTGGCGTCATGTTAAATAGACATTTCCATGTCGTGTGCACCTTCACAATCATTCATTTCACACCAACCCGCCGGGGAAAATCTCACCATGTCTCCCAACAGCAATCAACAGACGGTTCTCATCGTAGGTGGCACCGGTAAAGTTGGCCGGCAAATCACCAAGCTTCTGGCCAACACCGATACCCCCACCTACCAGTCCTCCCGGAGCGGCGCATCCACCACGGAGCCGGGGGCCGAAAATGTCAAGCCGATCGCCTTCGACTGGACCGATGAGAAGACATGGGCCGCGGCCTTGAAGTCCGGCGCAACAAGCGTCTTCCTCGTAGCGCCGCCCGTGCTCGACATGCTGCCCCCAATGCAGTCCTTTATTGACCAGGCACGGCTGGCTGGAAAGGCCAAGCGCTTCATTCTCTTAAGTGGAAGTCCGATGGAGGCAGATATCAATGGCCAGGGGATGAGTCGGCCGCATGCGTACCTGAAGGAGCTTGGTGACAGGGGTGAGGTGGAATGGGCCGCGCTGCGACCGACATGGTTCCAACGTGGGTACAAGTCAACTGAAAAAGATGAGATGGGTGCTAATGAAATGGCAGAGAACTTTGCTGAACAGCTGAATCACATTAATTCCATCAAGGACGAAAGCACTGTCTACTCCGCCACCGCAGACGGAAAGATTCCATGGATCGCGACCGAGGATATTGCTGCGTGCGCATTCCAGCTGCTTCTCCAAGATGACGCACCCAACGACGAATATCTACTGTTGGGGTCGGAGCTACTAAGTTACGATGACGTATGTGTTCAGCAGACTCGTCGGCAGAGGTCATTGATGTCTAACTTTGGTGTTCAGATTGCCCAAATTCTAACCGAAGTGCTCGGTCGCAAAATCATTCACAAGAACCTCTCACGAAAGGGGCTCGAGGATCGATACGTAAACTACGGCCTGCCGCAGGACTACGCGGAGATGATGGGTGCCATGGACACGAGCATCAAGAATGGGAGCGAGAACCGGACGAATAGCGTCGTCCTAGCAGTGACTGGTAAGCAGCCGAGGAAGCTCCGCGACGTAGCCAAGGAGCTGAGGAATGTTTGGGTGACGGAATCGTGATCCGCTACGTAATTGGCGGGGTTGGCTGTGCCTGAAATGAAGCGTCTCGGAGATCTGCAAACGCTCGCGAGGTGAAATGCCCCATTCGCAGACAAAGATGCCTATTGTCTCGGAGATTAGGCCACATGGAATTTTGACCTAGCTAGAAAACAGAGTTGGGAATTTGAGAAAGGTTTTTGTTTTCAGTCAGCGACAGCCAGTGTCCGTTTCCAGCCGAAATGTTCGCACATGCTTGTGCGGGGGACCCGCGCTAGGTTGAAACAAGTCATGAGATCACAGGTGCTAGTCCCCAGATGTGTAATTCTGCAGGGCGAATGGACCTCTTTCTTCACGCTCAATATTGCTCTAGAAGTTTCATCCTCAATTTGGCCATGAGATAAATCCGCAAACTCGAATATCGTCAACATGGAATCCTCGTTCGTAGACATTGAGGATGATCGGCCGACAACCCCTGGGACCGGACCGGAGTCCGGAGGGGAGAGGCCGAATCCACTAACGTACCCGAAAAGCACCAAGCCATTCAGTCAGGACCTGTTCGAGAGCCCAACAACAGAGTATCGCGGGTGCCCATTATGGGCATGGAACGGGACGTTGGAAAAGAAGAGGCTGCTGCGCCAAATTGACTACCTCGAGGAGATGGGCATGGGTGGATTTCACATGCATGTACGGACCGGACTTGATACCGCCTACATGGGCCCGGAGTTTATGGATCGGGTGCGGGACTGCGTCGACCATGCCGAGAGCAAAGGCATGCTCGCCTGCTTGTGAGACGCATGTGACCCAATGACGATGGGTGGGATTGCTGACTCTGGTTTAGATACGACGATGACCGATGGCCGTCTGGGGTTGCTGGGGGCAAGGTGATTGAACAGTACCCCGAACACAAGACTAAGCACATCTTGTTCACGATTCATCCTTATGGGACGGTCGACTTAGGAGGGTTTGTTACCTGAGAGCTGGTGATGAAAGCCGGCTGACCTCCTCTAGCGAATGTTCTCCAAGTTCGGCAAAACCATGCCGAAGTGAGGAGGGATACCTCCTCGCGAAATTCTCAGTTACTCTGGATGAAAATGGACGACTCATATCAAGCCGCAAGCTGGATGATGATGAGGATGCCGATCCTGGGGGTAGGGTATGGTACGCCTACGTCGAGCACAATCCGCCGTCACCTTGGTTCAACGGCCAGACGTACATCGACACGATGAGCACTGAAGCCATGGGCCGCTTCATTGAGAGCACTCATGAGGTGTACAAGACTGCGGTTGGAGACAGGTTCGGCTCGACGGTGCCGTGCATCTTCACGGACGAGCCCCAGGTTGCCATCAAGAGTCAACTATCCAGCCCTGATGGCCTCGAAGATGTCTTCATGCCATGGACGCAGGACCTGCCCGATACTTTCAAGGATGCGTTTGGCAGCGACGCCAACCTGATCAGCGGGATTCCAGAGCTTTTCTGGGACCTTCCAGGAGACACACCAAGTTTGACACGCTACCGCTTCCATGACCACGTAAGTGATCGCTTCGTCACCTCGTTCCTTGACCTTCTCAGCACCTGGTGCAAGAAGAATAAAATCCTTTTGAATGGTCATATGATGGAAGAGCCGACACTCCGACTACAAACAACCGCCCACGGCGAGGCCATGCGATGCTACCGAAATCAGTCACTGCCCGGGATGGACCTCCTTAATGACGGGGTAGAGTACAACACCGCGAAACAATGCACCAGCGTCGCGCGCCAAAACGGGATACGCGGGGCTATGAGCGAGATCTACGGCTGCACGCACTGGTACTTCAGCTTTGAGGGGCACAAGGGCTGCGGAGACTGGCAGGCCGCCCTCGGCATCACGTTCCGAGTACAGCACTTGAGCTGGTACAGCATGGCGGGCGAGGCAAAGCGGGATTTTCCTGCGAGCATCAACTATCAGAGCCCGTGGTACAAGGAGTACAAGTATATCGAAGACCACTTCGCCAGAGTCGGCGTCGCCATGACCCGCGGGCGCGCCGTGACGCGAGTGGCCGTTATTCACCCCATCGAAAGCGCTTGGCTTTGTTTCGGACCTAACAATAGTGGCGATGACGAACTCGGGCGACGGGATCAGTACTTCGCTGAGTTGACGAACTGGCTGCTTCAAGGGCTGGTCGACTTTGACTTCATCGCGGAGAGTCTGTTACCCAGCCAGATCGGAGAGGATGTGTCTGCACCACTGAAAGTTGGCCATTGTAGTTACGATGTGGTCATTTTACCTCAGCTGAGAACCATTCGCTCAACTACGCTCAGCATTGTCAAGAGGTTCGCCGCTGCTGGGGGCAAGGTCATTATCGCTGGTAATGGGCCAAGCCTAGTTGACGCCCAGGCCGTATCCCCGGATTTGAGCCTGGACATTGAGCCCTGTACGAAGTTGGCATGGGATCAGGCTGAAATATTGAACAACCTCTCCGAGAACCGGGATGTGGCCGTTGAAGTGAAGGATGGAAAGCCGGCACAAACTCTGCTTTATCAGATGCGTGAAGATGGCGAAGAAAGATTTGTCTTCATCTGCAATACGGACCGTAGCAAGCCCCACGATACCACGGTCAAGATCAAAGGCGACTGGGAAGTTGAAGTCTTGGACACATTCAAGGGCTCAACGCATCAGCACAAGGCAGAAATTGACGGAGGCTGGACAGTCTTCGACCACAGGTTTGAAGGATGTTCCAGCCTGTTGCTCCGTTTATCTGCGGTGCCAGCTGAAAAGCTCTCCTTCGTCGATATTGCCGGCGCTGTGACTTTGTCACCACCGAAAGCGGAGTCAGTCGAGCTGAAACTTGAAGAAGTGGTGTTGTCCGAGCCGAACGTCTTGCTATTGGACTACGCCTGCTACAGAATTGACGACGAGCCATGGGAAGACTCAAATCGCCAAGAGATTCTCAAGATTGACAACGAGATCCGATCTCGGCTACGACTGCCGGCAAAGGGCATGGCATGGAAGCAACCATGGAGTATCCCCCCATCAAAACGCTTGCCAAGGGTCTACGTTGACCTCCGCTTCGAGTTCGAATCAGAGCTCATTATCAAAACACCTACATACTTGGCGATGGAGAACCCCGAAAACGCCAGAATTACAATCAATGGCCACAAGCTGCCCGTATATGACGCGAAGCTGTCTTGGTGGGTAGATGAGGACATCAAAACTGTGCCGGTGCCGAAGAGAGCCGTCCGCAAGGGAAAGAACGTCATTGAGCTCAGTATGCCGTTTGGTGTGTTGACGAATCTTGAGAGAATTTACTTGCTGGGCAGCTTCAGCATAGATCTCAAGGACAAAAGGCCGGTTGTGCGAGAACGTCGACAGAGTTTAGGCTGGGGAGACGTTGTTACGCAAGGGCACCCTTTCTACGCGGGCAACGTGACTTACAACTGCAGCTTCTCGCTCAACAAGACATCGAATGTTACTCTTTCGATTCCACATTTCGCCACGCCTGTTGTCAAGGTTCAGTGGGGCAAGGAGCGAAGCGACCACATTGCACTTCAGCCCAGGACACTGAGCCTGGGAGAACTAGAAAGCGGAAAGCATCATATGACCATCACAGCCTTCGGGTGTCGGTACACCGCTTTTGGCCACATTCACTTGGCTGATGGAATCGCGGGGTGCTTTCCCGATCAATGGCGAAGTAAGTAATTCTACACAACAAAATGCATTCGTATTCTTGCTGACAAACACAAAGGTGGTGGTGCAGCATGGAGTGACGAGTACAGGTTGAAGCCCACAGGAGTTTTGGAGAAGCCGTCTCTGCGAGTTGAGCCAAAGGCCGATGCCGGAGAGGACTGGGTTGTACTGGCCGAATAGCATGAGGGGAAAAGAACATTAGCTAGTGTACTGTTCAACGGAAAATACACTTTAATCTAATGATACTTGTCAGACTAAAGAAATTTCACTGTCTCTTCGCACTTGTTACGCTGGTCCTAAACGTGATATCTTGTGGTATGGAGTTTGATTATACGTCTTGTTGGCTGCGGACGGCTTTATCTAGACACCGACGACAACATGAAGGGGGCGTGTATCGTTTACCAAGGAAGATGTCTGATCTGTCCAGCCACAACCGAACATGTCGTAGAACACGCCTTTCCATTGCCTGCAGCATCCTCAATTACCAAAAATAGCATTGCCCATGAGAGCAGAGGATAAATCTCTGAATGATTCACCCCTGAAGGGCTCAGGCAGTTGCCTGATCCACGGCCCCATTCACTCCACAACCCCCTAGGCAATCAATCTGTTGCAAAACAATATGATTAGCCCAATGTATGATGAAAATTAAGGTCAACACCGGAGAAGGGGGTTCGATATTACCTTCACAGTATCCTGCTTCAACACCAGTGGTCAGTGTGGTTCGGCCAAACCGTCTTTGGATAGCTTACCCGCCTGTATGAATCAACAGTCCCAGTGAAGACTCCACCGGCGCTGTAAACGCTAAACCAACAAGGGTAGCAACAATGAGGGCAATGTAGCGCATAGTGAATGTTCTGATGGGGTCGTGAGAATGATTGGTCTGAGTGGTGTTGTGATAATGTTCTGGATGGCATGTGAAGCTTGGTGACAGTTTGTGAGAAGATGGAGACATTTTATACGCAATTCATCAGGCCAGTCAGACAGTCACTTCTCATTTGACCGGCGTCCTCTCATACTGTGGATTCTCAACGAAAGCACTTCGCAGACACGAGCGAGCCCTGTTGACAAGGTACATGAATAAGTGCCGTTCGGCTGGCCGAGGTCTGCCTACGGAGCCTGGTCTCCTCCTGGCCAGCTATCATGGTCCTTTAACCGAAAACGATGTATGAGCACGAATACCATCTCCAGAAATAGGCATGTCCTGTCGTCCCCGGTGTCTCAAGCTGTGCCCGCGGCAAGGCTACCATTGGCTCACTTATGGATCTGATAGTGTGGGTTCAGAACACCAGCCTCATTCGCCTCGTTGCGCTCCACCGAACGAACTTAAACCGCCTAAGCGTTTTAACTGGTCTCGCAAGCTAGAGAAGCGGGCAACAACATCAAGTGCAATCATCACCGCATCCAAGAGCAAAGGCTGTGCACATCATCCGCTGGAAGCAAGCAGAGTCATGTTCAACTAGACTCATGTTCAACTAGATCACACGTATGATGACACTGGGAAACGCTCGTCGAAGGGATAGTTCAGGAGGGGACTTAAGGACTATTACCGGAATGCAGCCTAGTCGTAAGCGTGTCTGATTTAATAATAACAACGTCGGGGAACAATTTCTACTCTCGAAACACTGAAGCGGTCTAATTTGTAGAGACAAGCTTGGGATTGCTAAGAAACGAACCTGGCGGGAAATGTTCTTAAGTAGTACACAGTCGGTTGATGCTGCATATTCACCTGCCTGTTGATTTGAAGAAAGTGAGTCCAAAGTGAGCCACTCCAAATCAAGCATTGGACACCAGAAAACAAATATCAAAAAGAGCCTTGGAGCCAACTCAAAGTCGCAAACCTCGACCGACGGCAAGCTTTGACTAAGGAAGGAAGATTCTCTATTTTCATGGTGGTGACTTAGGAAGGCACTTCCTTCCCATATGTCAATCGCAGCTTCCCGAAAACGAGACAGCCAAAGCCAGACAGGCAGGTACCTTCCCACGAAAATCTTTTCTCTTGCCGGGCAGGTAGAGCTTCTTTTGTAGTTCCTTTCCCCCCCCATTGGACTCAACGAAAATTTCTTCTCTCACATCGTCGGCCTCGCAACCTTCGCACGCAAAAGTCCGCTTGCGACAACTCACTCCTCCACAACTTCACTTTTCCATCAGAATATTGAAGAAGGCCAACTGACCGGAAATATTTGCGACAATCGTGCGCGTCTCCAGGTCACCGTCCGCATCGCGAACAGAATCGCCGTCACGCCTGAGCAGCTTCGCACAACTCTCTCATCCTACTGCTGATTCTTACTCCTCTCTCACAACCACATTCTCCTTACCAACGTCAGCACGCCATCATGATGATCTCTACTTGCGGCACGTGCGGTCGCATATTCCCTGGTGGCGACCAAGAGCTTCAAGATCACATCGCAGCGACGGGACATCAAAGCACCTTCTACCCGTGCTTTTCTTGCGACTACCGTTTCGCAAGCCAATACTATGCTAAGCAGCATATGGATGCTGAGGACCATTGGATTCCCACATCGCCTCCTTTGTCGTGCAGCAAATGCACCTCGCGTTTCTCGAATGAGGAGGATGCCGAGAAGCACGAGCACAAGATACACTTGAGATGCCGACCCTGCAATGTCAGCTTCCCCACTTCCCAGGAACTGAGTATGGTAAGATGCTTCCCATTGATATTGATATTACGACGAATTTCTAATCGTTGCAGCATCTTCGCGGCCGAATGCACAAGGACTTTTCGATGTACTGCCCCTTCTGCAATCGCTCGAAGCTGTCCGCCGGTGGTTTGATCAGCCACCTCGAGAGTGGAAGCTGCCCCGACTCAAAGCTTGACAGCGACACTCTGTACGAAGCTGTGCTTCGACGCGATCCCAACGGAGTTCTTTCCAAGCAGCTTCAAGACTGGACTGGGACCCCTCGATTCGAAGTGACTGCGGATACTTGGAACTCAAAGGCGCAGGCGTATGAATGCCGCATCTGCCATCGCTTATTCAAGCAGCTACCTGATCTGCAATTCCACGTCAATTCTGCCGCTCATACGAAGAAGATCTATCACTGTCCAAACCCGCGCTGCCGTAAGGCTTTTAACCACCTGGGTAGCACGATCCATCATCTCGAATTGGAGACTTGCCAATTCATGTCATTCGAAGCGGTGCAGAAGAACGTGGAGGAGGCACTCAAATTCTATTACAATGTTTCAAGATTGAGGCTCCACAATTTGAAAGTCGTTTCTGCGTGGAGGCATTCTGCCTTGGCGGAGGATTGAAGGGCGATGGGCATAACGAGAAGATCTTCGGTCTGGACGAATGATGGAAATAGCAAGACATAGGCGTTTATGCTATGGGATTTCTTCTTTCGTTTGCGTCATCATAAAACGCCATTTTGGCAAGGATAGCAAAGAACTGAATTCACGTTGACTGATCGCAAATCTTGGTAACAGCATGTTTGCACAATCCCGTCGTGGAAATAGCGGATCCTCTGTGCTTAATGTTTCTGTGAATAGAGGTAATTCAAAAATGACAATGGCGTGCTCCCCAGAGAGAAATGGTTGAGACAGTAAGGCTGGCCCTGAAATAATCATCTACAGGTTTTCGCCGACTTCTTTTTTTAGTCTGGCTAAATATCAGGGGGGGTTGAATATTGCTGCCACGAAGCAATCACATGTGCAATCATCTGATATTCAGAGGTTCATATTCTGTCGTTTTGCTGCAGACGGATGTTGGCGGCGCCACTAACCAGCCACTGTTCTTTGGGGTGGTGGTTGCAGTGTCTTTCGACTGGGCTCCACATGTTTCATTTTAGAGGCGTCGGCTTTTCCTCCTTGACCAATCGTCCTGAGGACGTCTCCTCGTTGTACGGATGTTGCAACCGTGATCGAACCATCTGGTCCCCGACTATGGAGGACCGGGCGGAAGCCAGTTATTAATCTGCATGCTAAGTCGACAAATTACTGCTGGTGGAACCCCGAATCTCGCGCGCACAAAGAGTCATGTGGAGCAATTTTTTGTAGAATGTTTTGAGGTTTGGGAACCACCTGTGCAGGATGTAAATTATAAACACTGAAATCCCAAGCTTGACTTTTGCCAAATGCGTCTTCACTGCGCGGCGTATTCGCAAGTACGAAGAAAGACCTCATAAGAGCATAAAGAATCCAGCATTATAGAAGCTGTTCGTGGAATCCGAACTTTGCACATCAGATGATTGCTGAACATTCGTTTCTTCTGTGCCGCGGCTTTGACCTGGTTCGCCACGCGAAGCCTTCCCGTCATCATATCCGTCGACACACCACCGCTGCGAAGCAGAAACATCCTCTCCCCATATGTCGTCTTCACAAAACTTCTGAAAGCTCTTTAACTCCGGTGTTTCACTCCGCATAAACGGCTCTGCTACATGCAAGAATTCGTTAGAGAGTAGACGGACCTGGACTTGGCGAATGATGCGACAGTGGAAGGTAGTATCGTTATCTGACCGGGATTCTTCAACCCTTTTAAAAGTGTCGTTCTGGTTTCGCTTAGGCCCTTCTGTTACGCCAACAAGATGGACGAGCAAGCCTATCTCCCATCTTGCGCTGTCTTCATGGCATCTGGAAAGAATAATAGCCAACTCTATGCCGTTGTCGCTGTCATCTATTTTTTGCTGGAGGTATTCCTCGTGCAACAGACGATTGCTGTTTGCCTCCATGACTGTGGTTACGTTGCCACTGGCTTCTGCAGTTCTAACCCTGTACCACTTGTCAGTTTTTTTGCCGACGCCGAAGTCGAATGTCACGTCATTGCCTGCACCCGCAATGCGTCTTAAACTTGCTGGTCCGATTTCCAAACGGAAACCAGGATATTCCACTGAAAGACCCCCATTGTTCTGAACTCGGGCTGAATTATTGTAGCCGAGAGGGTATGGGTAGGACTCATCCGCATGGCCCATCCATGTCAGTGGCGCCCATCCATACCCCTTTGTTGTGAGGCGGGCGCCAGGCACGAATATCATCCCAGAAGGAACGGTTAATTCTGAATTTGAAATTTTCTGCCACAAGCTTCGCATCAGCTTTTCACGCTTCCTGGCTTGTTCTTGAACGTCTGTCGACCGCGACGCCTTTGGGACAAGGTCCGACGGCTCTTGAGGAATTTCGACGCCCAGCAAACTGGCTATAACAAGAGTTTCGTCGTTCGCATGTTTGATGGTCT